GGATGTATCAACGTTTAGACCCAGCGCTGTGGCTCTGCTTGGGTCAAGTGATGCTGGAGCTGGAACCCAGATCCCACATGTGCAAGGCATGTGCCCCGGGCATCCATCTTCAGGCCCTCTTTCCTCTTCTGTTTTTGCTAACCTAAAGAAATCCCAAAAGGATGTTTACTTTCCCAACACAGCAAACAATGAAAACAACTTGAGCATTTGCTTTGCAGTGAGCTGCTTACAGAGACTGTAGCACCCGAGGACCACCAGCAGTCCCCTTCTGGGGAACTACCTCTGTGAGGGCCATATATTGACCGTATCATTTCTGCTTTAATGTCTTCTTTTTAAAAAAAAAAAAATTATGTGTTATTTTGGTATGATGCGATAGATAGCGTTTTGTGTCTGGGAACCCAAAATTCCATGTAAATCAGTAGCAATCTTAAATTGCTCTCATTTTGGCTTCTGAAAGGCTTCACAGGATTGCTTTACTTTGTGTGTGGGAAACCCCTGTTTAAAATTTCCCCACTGAACTGGAACCTAAACTGAAGTCAACGGCCTCTGAAGGTGAATGGGTTATTTCTGGACTTCTGATTCTATCCCCCATCTTCAGATGTTTCTCCAATGGATCGTTCCACTTTGTCTTAATTACTGCAGCTTTCGAGTTATGAAACTGGGAAGCAAATCCTCCAACTATTTTATTTACAATTGCAAGCTCCTTTGGTTCCCTTGCATTTTCTTATGAATTTTAGTATCAGTTTTCCTATTTCTGCAAACAAAACCCAAAAACACAAACCCCAAACCTGACTCCCTTCCAAATTAATTCTGGAAATTTGACTCCAATCACAATGAAATGATAGAGGCCAGTTCGGGGGGTGCAGTCAATATCAACTCTTCCTTTCTATGAAAACAGAACATATATTTTCTATTACATACATCTTCCTTAGTTTCCTTCTAAAATGTTTTCAGTTTCTTATACTTTTGGTAAATTTATCCTAAGTAGTCTAATTATTTTCGGAGTTATAAATCTCTCTAATTTTTTTTCTTTTTGGGTGACACCCAGTGATGCACAGAGGTTACTCCTGGCTCATGCACTCAGGAATTACTCCTGGCGGTGCTCGGAGGAACATGTGGGATGCTGGGAATCAACCCAGATCGGCCGCATGCAAGGCAAATGCCCTATCTGCTGTACTATTGCTCCAGTCCCACTAACTTTATTTCTGATTGTTCACTGCCACTGTACAGATATACAGTGATTTCTGTTTACGGATCTTGCATTCTGTCACATTGCTGAACTTTTTTTTAACTGGTTCTAAATTCTCCTAAATGGAATGTCTCGAGATTTTTCTCCACATGCAAAATCTCAATCACTGACAACAGAGATTGCTTTACGTCTTACTTTTTAATCTGGATACCGTTTTCTTTTCCACCCAGCAACTGCCCTAGTTAGAATCTCAAATCGTGCTCCATGAAAGTACAAAAGTAGACATCCCTGTCTTGTTCTTGATCTTTGGGGGGAATGCATGTAATTTTTCTTCATTAAGTCAGATTTGGTTGTGGGCTTTTTGAAATGATCTTTATTGGGTTGAGAAACTTTCCTTCTATTGTTGAACACTTTTATCATGAAAGGGTACTGGATTTTGTCAAATGCCTTTGCTCTGTCCATTGAGATGAATGTGTGGTTTTGGTCTTTTGTTCTATTAACAAGGTATAAACGCTGATTTATTTTCAGATGTTAAATTAATCATTCCTGGGATAAATTTCATTTGGTTGTGGTGTATGAAAATTCTTTTTATATGTTGCTGCAATTGTTTTGTTAATTCTCTGTTGAGAATTTACATCTGTATTCATAAGGGATACTGGTTTGTAGTTTCCTTATGATGTGTTTGGTTATGGAATGAGGGTAATGATGGTCTCACAAAAGAGTTGGGAGATATCATTTCTCTTCTATTTAACAAAGTCTGTCAAGGATTATTAATGAATTTATTAAATTATCAAATGATCAAAGATAAAGCAGAAATAGTTTAATTTTTTAATCCCCCACATATCCTTCTACTAAGTTCCATTAATTTTCAATATTACACCATTCTTATTTCACCTATGCTCTTTTAAAATGTCCCTTACCCTTTTGGGGACTGAAATTATTTTAAATCAAATCCCAGGTGTATCACTTCACTCTTAAAGATGTCATCATATATACACACATATATGCATATGTATTTCTAACAAAATATTAACCAACCAGGAATTTTAGTAACAAACCAGGAATTATTTCACCTAACAAAACCAGCCAGGGTTCTAATTTTCCCAAATATCTTGATTTTTAAAATTTGTCTGATTCAAGATCGAAAGTAAACTAAACACAGTTTGATTTGACTCACAATTTCAATAATAGTACTCCCTCTCCATGCCACTGAATTTATTGCTGGAAGAAAAAAAAATCCTAGGCCAACCTACCCTGCAAAATTGTTCATTTCTTTGCTTCGACTGAACACATGCATCCTCAAGTATGTCTAACCTGTTTGATCCCTCCTGCTTCTTTTAAAACCACCATGAGTCTGTTTAGATCAGTTTCTTGTGTACTTACTATTGCTATTTGGAGATAGTGTCTCGCTGTCCCACTTTGTTAAGTTGATCTATGGGGTTAGGTGATGTCAGTCTGATGAATCCACTACAGATAGAGTTTCCCATCAATCTCCTGACTAATTGTTTTAGCAACTAGTGACAATGTGTACCTAGGTACAATGTTTAGCAGAAGTCTTAATATGGTTATTTCTAATTTTTCTACTTATTCCCCAACTTTTTTTTTTTAAACCCTTTAACCAACTTTTTTTAAAAAAAAAAACAACCCTTTAATTAGACTCCTGTGATTCCCAGTTTAGGGAGGTCCAGGGCCCTGTTTCACTGCAGAATCCCAAAGAACCACTCCTGATGAGGTCAGCCTAGTGGCATTGGGTCTGACAGATTGGTCTGTTGCTTGGCTGGCCATGCAGTGCCATGGATCAGACTCAGGGTCTTGCTCCTGGAGCTGACATTTGTCACAGTGGCTGGAGAACAGCTACAGAAGAGGTCAGGGGTGGTGTCTGCTCTTAAAATTCATAGCAATGACCTATATCTCATACAACTTTGTGAAGTCTTATTAGACATTCCTGATGTAAAGCCTACATAAACCGAGTCTGAGATAATTTTTTCTAAACACACAAAGTATTTCAGAATCTGTTTAATATAAGTTTTGTTTCCAGGAATGCAATTATGCTATGATTAGAGGAACAGTCTAGGGGGCCAGATCGATAGTACAGCAGGGAGGGCGTTTGCCCTGTATGTGGCCAACCTGGATTTGATTCTCAACACCCCATTTGGTCCCCTGGGTACCACTAGGAGTCATTCCTGATTAGCAAGCCAGGAATAACCCTTGATTGTGGCCCCCAAACAAAAAACAAAAAAGGGGAACAGTGTCTATTATTGTTTTTCCCTTTGCTCCTGAGAACTGCTCCCCAGTTCAGAAAAGTCAGGTTGGTAACAGCAGCCCTGCTGGTGCCGTGTGCAGTGTGGCACAGCTTCTCAGGTGACAGCCCTGCTGGTGTCGTGTGCACTGTGGCACACCCTTCTCAGGAGAACAAAGTCCTGCTGGTGCCACGTACAGTGTGGACACCCTTCTCGGGCAACAGCAGCACTGCTGGTACCATGGACACTGCTGACACACCACTTCTCCAAATGCCAGCTTGTCGCTGCTGACTTCAAAACACTTTCACTCAGAAGTGTAGATGTCTGACAATGTTTCTGAGTGCCATCTTTTACGAAGCATTCATTTCCAATATATACTAGTTAGGACTTTAAACCAACCCCTTACAACCACCCTGGGTGAGTTGTCATAGATTGCATTTCAAGAGAGTAAAGGAGATTTCACACAGTAGTTCTGAAAAGAGCCTAGAGGCTAATCTAGCTGAGGGGAGACAAGTGTCAGGTCTAAAAGCTTCCCCCAGGGCACAGCCTTAAATCTCACTACCACACTCTGCTCATGTTGCAGTCATGGGGCTGTGCTGGGAGTGAGGAACCTTGGAACCCCCGCTTGCACTGAGTTATTAGTCTCTGGTGACCTGGGCAGCCATTTTATATCTGGTTCCCTTCAGATGGAAAAAAAATGTTCTTCATCTTTTAAGTCTCCACTTTCCCCAGAGGACCCAGTATTTTCGAAGACTGCCAGACTCACCAATTATTACTTGGCAATAATTAAATTTCCCTCTTTTTTTTTTTTTTTGGCTAACCAAAGTCACCTAATTGCAAAACAATGAACCAACAATGGCAGCGAACACTTGAGCATGTTTATTCTGGCCCCAGAGAGCTGCCCACCCTCCCTGCCCCAGCCCTGCCATGACTACCACACTGTGGACCCCAAATTGGGAAATGCCTTTTCAGCTACAGACTAAAGTCTCCCTAGCCCTTGTTCCTGCCTCAGAGCAGAATTCTCCAGTTCTATTGCTGCCGCCCTAATCTGCAAACAATGAAATAATGCAGACAGGACTTGTTTATATCCTGTGCTGTTTTGGAAAAGCTCTGAAATTGTCAAAGGGGGGGGGGGTCAATGAAATGAGCAAGACACTGGGACTGAGACTGTACCCCCTCTGGGAAATGACTTCTCCGCCTTGTCATGGCTCTCCAAAGCCTGGCTTAGCGCTTCTGTGCACTCTGGGACAAGTAACGTGAAAATCTTGGCAGCAACCTCAGAATACCACACACCGCCCAGAAGCAAAGCCCTTGCACAGAGGCAGGGGCAACACGGGGCTTCTGGAAAGGGTGGGCAGCCTTCAGAAGCTGAGCAGCAAGATGGCAGGATGGAGGAAAAGAACTCGGCACTCCACCAAGGTCTCCAAAGATGAAGACCCGGACCTTCTGGTGTCACACGGGAGTGCCAGAGAGGGGTGGGCAAGCACCAACCATCCACGCCGGATGGTCCTGGCTGGAATCCTGCTGAATAGCACGGGCTGCTCATGGGGACTCGGTACTCACGTACTCACCAGGGAGGCTGCCGGCCAGTGTGGGGGTGGTGTGGGTGAATCCGAAGTGGGTCCACCTCTCTGGCAGTGGCAGGGGGAAACTCCCGGTGGGGACTGCTCACACTGGCCTTGTCCCAGGACTCATGGATAGGTGTGATGATTCCAGTTGTGATACGGGACCGAAGTTCCTCGCTGTTCTTGTAGGCCCTGTAGGAAGGAGATGCAGTGTCAGCTCCTGGCACCTTCCTGGCAGCCTTGCACGCATTACTTGGGTGGGGGCGGCGTTGGCAGTGGCAGGGGCAGCAGCAGGGGCGGCGGCACTGATGGCGGTGTTGGCAGTGGGAGTTGTTGGTGCGGCGAGAGGACTGTCTGCAACGGTGGCAACGGGCCGCCTGGCGGCCCCGGGTGGCAGGGGCAACAGCACGGCGTCGTCTCCGAGGCTGGGGCCTGAGCTTCTTAGGCATCTGAGTCGCCCCTCCTCGTTTAGCACCCCATTAGAGAGAGGTGATGGTGTGGGGGCACAGGACCTAGTGGTCTCTCCTCTGCCCCTGAGCCCATCCGCCCGCAGGGGCATTGTGTGTTCATCACCGTGTCATAGGGACAGCCATGGAAGCTTCTCTGACCCACGAAGGAGGCGGCGGGTGCTGGGCTAGGCAGCAGGCCTCCAAGGGGCCCACTCTCAAGATTCTGTCACCCGCCCAGAAGTCCCTGGGCAGCTGTGCTTGTCTCTTCTCTGCCAGTGAGGGACAAGCAATGAACCTGAGTGTTGCAGCACCTGAGAGGAGGGAGGGGCAGAACCTGAGGGTTCCTGATAACCTGGGATTTTAAAATGAGACACATGTTCTGGGTGGAAAAAGGAAACCTCACAATGTGTAAAACTGAAGTCATGCAAAGAATGTTCTCTGACCAGATCGAAACAGAAAGAAAATTTCTATCTATATAGAAGCAACAGAGTCCCAGATAATCTACAGGTCACAGATCACAGAATAAAAAAATTAATAGTTTGTGGGTACAGCTAAAGCAGTGTCAAGAGGAAACTTTATAGTACTAAAGGCTTTTATTGGAAAAAAATAAGAATCCTAACCTTAAGAACAGAGAAAGAGAGTAAATTAAACCCAAAGCACTGAGATGTAAAGGGATAATGTGCAGAAGGCTATCAGAACCAGTCCACGAGGGCCTGCCTGGTTCGTGCACGATGTCCCCAGCACCCACTCCCACTCCACCATGCACACACACCAGCCCAGCAGTTCCTCTGTTGGAGCAGATGGTTCCGTGCTCCTCTCTGCCACAAGAGTCTTCCAACTAAACCAGAGACAGGAGCATGCAGGCGCCTAGTAAGGTCTGTGACCCTGGTGAGGCCAGTGAGCGTGACCCTGACTTAGGGGCCTCAACTGTTTAGTGGGACTCTGACAAACACACTATAAGCACCACGACCAGGTATGTGGGCATTTCAACCAGGTTTGTAACCCTGGTGAGCACAATACGAGAGCAAGGTGTGTATTATCACACCACCAATAGCTACTAAAAAAATGGGCAGGAATAGGTGGGACCAGTCTTTGGGCTGAACTGGGGGCAATCTTGGAATGGGGGTGTGCCGAATCAACCCCAATGGAAAACCCAGTGGCCCCTGCCCACACCCGCCATCTTGCCAGCAAAAAATCAGCATCAAAAAAAAAAAAAAAAACAATGCCACGAAATCTTCCCAGACAGACTAGTCCAGGCTGAGAACTCTGGGGTCTTCTCAGAATGGGATGGGCAGATTCCCCTTCCTGCCTGAAGACAAAGCAGCCCACAGCCACACCTTACACTCTATGACATAGAAATGTCCCAGCTCCACAGCAGAACCTCATCAAATTACTAAGCCACCAAACTGCTCCAGCTCCACAGCTCCTGGACACCTCACGTTTCATAGCACTGTCAGCCCAGTGTGATCACAGCATATCTGATGGGAAGGTTGCACAGAAGCTCATCAAGCTCGATGAGTCTAAACAGTGACAGAGGCTCAACTAGCACCACGCAGCACAGCAGATCCTCAGACAGTAACACACCATTGTGAGATCTGACAGTGATCTCAAATTTACTCTTATTGATCTAAGGTTTGATAATTATATTTTCTGTTGTAACAAATGATACGAAATACATCTGTGCCTGCAAAGGGGCAGGCTGGGGAGGTGGGTGGGAAACTGGGGATATTGGTGGGGGGAAGGGCAGCTGATGGTCAGATTGGTGTTGGAAAATGTAATGCCTGAGCTGACTATATTATCAACAACTGGATAAATCACGGTGCTATAATTTAAAAAATTATTTTTAATGGGAAGGGAATTTTAAAAAAGTATTTAAAGAGAGGCAAACATTAGGGAACAAACAGTTGGTTCTTTCCAAAAATGAGCAACATGAATAAACTCCTGGAAAGATAGGTGAATAAAAAAGAGAAGTAGGGGCCAGAGAGACCTACAGAGGTCAAGGTGTAGTATGTGGCTGTAGCCCTGGCCCTGGTTCAAACCCTGGCCCCACCTATGGCCCCCAGAGCACTGCTGGGTGTGGATCCTTGAGCAGAGAGCCAGATGTGGCCCTGAGCACTGGTCCCTTGCCCCCAAAAGAGGGAAGACATTAGATCCGTACTCAAGGGATCTTTCTAATTTGTTAGTAGCCACTAAAAGGATAATAGAATACGAAGAAAAACTTAATTCAACAACTTAGAATTCTTAGAATAATTCTTCAAGCTTTTTAAGACTTCAAGACTCATAAACATTTCAGCTAAAATGATCTCACAGTTCTACTAAATTAACTTTGGCACCCATAAAATAAATCACCCATATCTGACCTTAGTGAAGAATTCCACCACATATTTCAGGAAGAATTAGCACCAATTTACAGTCACTTCCAGAAAATAGGAGAAGGAAGACTTTCCCAAGTTGTTTTGTGAGGTCAGTACTACTTGATATTAAAACAGAGTACAAAAAGTATGAAAACTTGAGACTGGCATTTTCCATGAACTTGGGTGCAAAAAAAAAAATAAACTTCAATTTTTTTCAAGTTTTATAAGAATTGTATATTTTAGGATGTGTTGTGGTAGACAAGACCCAATATTCACAAACGTACACTGCAACCACACTGCTAAGAAAAAGCATGTGAAGATCTTATTAATTGGCACTGGAAAACCATTTGACAAAATTCAAGATGATAAACTGATGCTGAAGATTCAACAAAGAGAAAGGTTTCTCAAGTTTCACAAACAGCCAACAGCTAACAATATAGTTAACAGAGACAGAACACTCTGCCTATAAGCCTGGGACCAGGAAAGGAGACCCTTCCCCAGCTTTCATAATACTGGAATTTTCAACCACTGAAACAAGGCGAGAAAAACAACAAAATCCACCCATTAACCAAGATTAGGGCTCAACAATGTGACAGAATACAAGCTCAAAACACATGAGTCCCATTTTCTGTACACAAACAAACATCTCAAAATCAAAACTGACAATAGGCTCAACTATTCTCACCTCCTCTCCCTGCCAAAGACATTTTAAGAAGTTTAGGATCTCATGTGCTAAAAATTACAAAATGGTGATGAAATTAAACAAGACCTATGTAAATGGAGAGATTCACCCCATTCATAGTAAAAGTGTCAATGGTCTACAATATAGATTTAATGACCTATGTAAGTTTATAAAAGTTCTATTAAAATTCCAGTGAGGCATTTACAAAAATAGACAAACTTTAAATAAGAGTGCTAAGTTTAAACAGAAACAGAGTGCCAAAATAGCTAAAACAACACTGCCAAAGAAGTACTGCGTGGGAGGAACCTTTCTACTCAATATTAAGATCTACTATGTAGCTACAATAATTAAAACTGTGATTGCAGAGGGACAGGTACAACTATTATGGAAAAAGAAAATCCAGAAACAGACCTACACAAGTACAGAAGACCGATTTTAAACAACTTGCAAAAGCAATTTAATGAAAGAAAAGAATGGCATTGAAGGAAATAGATTATCTATAGGCAAGAAAAACCTCATAGAGATGTGAGCTGAAAGTAGTTAAGGGAGCAAGCCTGATAACCTCTCATTATCTGCATTGCAAACCATAATGCCCAAAAGTAGAGAGAAAGTATGGGGAATTATGGGGAATACTGTCTGCCAGGGAGGCAGTGGGAGGGTGGGAAAGGTGGAGTATTCTGGGGATATTGGTGGTGAGGAATGTACACTGGTGGGTGCTTGATCACTGTGTGATTGTAACTCAAACATGAAAGCTCATGGTGATTCAATAAAGTAAATTTAAAAAAAAGAAAAACCTCATACTATATACAAAAATTAACTTAAAGTAGACCAGATTTAAGTATAAAAGCACGAAATTATAAAATGTTCAGAAAGAGATTTTTTGAAACTTGGGATAAACAAAGATCTTTCATTTAACAACATAAGTTTAATCCATAAAAAAAAGGGTAAAATATTTATCTCAAAATTAGAAACTTAATTTGCAAAAGACTCTGTTGAAGAATGAGAAAAAATATACCCCCAAAAAACTAAAAACCAAAAACCAGAAAAACAGGTACTGCAAGATAGTACAGCAGTTAGGGAGTGAATTCGATTCCCAGAACCACAAAGTTCCCCTGAACACCACCAGGTACAGCCCCAGAGGGGAGGCCTGGAGCACCACCAGGTGTAGCCTGTGTGCCAAGATGTCAGGGCTTAAGCAGCATCGCACCGAGTCCTTGCACTGACACCAGTCTGGCCGACCAACACTCACTGGTGGGGGACACCTGGGCCTTAGCAACTGCCCCCCCCCCCCAACAGCAACAAAGAATGAAAAACCAAACTATAGGGAGAAAGAATAAACCATCACCTAGTAAAGGAATTGCTCCTAAAATATTTAAGGAAGTCAAAACTACACCAGTAAAAAGGTACCAACCAATTCAATTTTCTAGTAGGTTAAAGGTTGTGAACATTTTGCCAAAGATGACACACATATGGCAAAAACACACATGAAGAGATTCTCAGCACCAGTAACCAAAATGAAATCAACAATTTTGATTCCACCATTTGCTGGTGAGCGTTCATAGTAACTATATCGCTTGTACATGGATCCCTCTTTCCTGCCTTCCTCCCTTCCACCTGGTGGTGCTCAGGGATCACTCCCTGAGGTGCTGGGGACTGAGCCTGGTAGTTTCTCTAATATAGAAAGGAGTCCAGATGGTAGGAGAGAAA